ATGCACCATATTTTATGTGATATGATTATGTGATGTATAGATTGTGTTGACCGTAGATTGTGTATGTTATGTGATGTATGGAATTGTGTTGACTGTTGACTGTTTATGTTATGTCATGAATGAGATGTTAGTATTATATGCCATGAATATGTTGATTGATGCCATAGATACACGTATAATTATCGAGTCATGTCATGAGATGTTTATGCAACTGGAATGTTTATGTAATATGCCATGTAATGTAAGTCATGTGAGATGCCATGTGATGTAAGAAACGTAAATGCGATGTTAGCACTGCTTATGTAATGCCATGTTAGAAATCATGTTAGAAATGTTAAGGGACCTCATGCATATATGTATGTCACGTGCATCGGGATTCTTCCCCTTTATGTTACGAAAGAATGAAATACGATATTTATGTTCGCCATGATATCATGCGGGCCTTTTTCTGTTCTGTGGTGTCCGACTACGTGTAACACGTTGTGTCCGACCAAGTCAGGCCCAGGGGGTATGCTTATGAGCCCGCCTGGTGGGTTCATGTACACGTACATGGGCCATGTGTGAAGGAGTACCACACATCCAACCCAACCCAGAATAGAAAAGCGCCCAAGGCCATGAAAAGTTTATGAAAAGTTAGGTCCCGCTCATATGTTGCATGTGTTTGCATTCCTAACCCCAACAATAGGGTGACTTACTGAGTATTTCATAAAATACTCAAGCCACATGCTACCTACATTTTTCAGGTAAAGACAAGGCGCCAATGTACGGTTGACGGCGAAGCTGAGGCCACCATGGAAGTTGGAGATGGGATATTTTTAGGAGTTTACTTTAATTAGACTGTTTTAAGTTATAGCATTGAGTATTGTTTTATTTGGATTTATTTTGAATTCAGTATTGAAGGTTTATTTTTGGAGTTTAGGTTTTGTTTTGGATTCATGAATATTTATGAAAGACCCTTTCAAGGTTATTTATGATGAGTTTTCGCTTAATGAGATAAGTATGCATGGGTGACGTCACTAATTAGGTTAAAGAAAATTAGGGGCGTTACATGTGATGTGTTGCATGCTGAGTGATTTTGTTTGCAATATGATGTGAACTTAGTAGATGTGATGTATAGCATAATTTCATAGGTAATGAGCCTTAGACTTAAGAGATGCTATCTTGATTTCTAGAACCATGCTGCCTAAACCATACGAAAGAGTAAAACGAGGAAGGGGATGACCTCCTATTAGAAATAGAGGACGAGGTGAGGCTGAAGAGAGCCCACCTCGAGAGGGATCAGAGACAGGGTTTGAATTAGAACCCTTATTGTATGTATGGTTGGCAAGCAGCCCTGAGAGGGTAGACGTAGTAACTAAGGATAAAATAAGGAATGACCAAGCAATAGTAGCCGACCCAACCCTAAGCGTAGTCCTAATAGTGGTAAAGATGACCGACTTTGACGTAGTACTAGGCATGGATTGACTAGCTGCAAACCATGCTATTATAGAATGTCGCAAAAAAAAAAAGTGATATTCTCACCACTGGTGTGACCTAGATTTAAATTTAAAGGCACAAGTATCGGGACTACCTCAAAGGTAGTCTCGATGATGAAAGCAAAGAGACTAGTCCAACAAGGCAGTTGGACTATATTAGCATGTGCCGTAGACGTAAGAGGAAAAGAAAAGACCCTAGAAAACGTGTCCATCGTAGATGAGTTCCCAAATGTGTATCCGGATGACCTACCTGGAATACCCCCTTCCCGAGCAGTCGACTTCGTCATCGAACTCGAGCCAGGAACTGGACCTATTTCTAAAGCACCCTATCGCATGGCGCTAGCAGAGTTGAAGGAACATAAGGCGCAATTACAAGACTTACGGGATAAATGATTCATTCGACCTAGCATATTCCCCTAGGCTGCGCCAGTGTTGTTTGTTCAGAAGAAAGATGGATCGATGCGTTTGTGCATCGATTATAGAGAGTTATATAAGAGAACCATAAAGAACAAATACCCTCTACCTAGAATAGAAGACTTATTCAATCAACTAAGAGAAGCAATGATATTTTCTGAGATAGATTTGTTGTCGGATTACCATTAAATAAAGAGTAAAGAAAAAGACGCACCAAAGATAGCATTTAGGACAAGATATGATCGCTATAAGTTCGTGGTATGTCATTTGGCCTCACCAATGCTCCAGCTGTGTTAACGGAGTTAATGAACCGAGTGTTCAAGGACTGTCTAGACACTTTTGTGATCGTGCTCATTGATGACATCCTAGTGTACTCAAAAACATACTTGGAACACCAAGAACAACTCTGAAAAGTCCTAGCCACCCTAAGAGAGAACAAGTTGTATGCCAAGTTCTCAAAGTGTGAATTTTGGTTACGATAAGTCTCTTTCCTAGGATACGTGGCGACATAGGATGGAGTATCCGTAGATCCTACTAAAGTCAAAGCGGTCACAAAGTAGGAACGCCCAACTTCGGTAACATCAGTACAGAGTTTCTGCGGACTAACGAGATACTATCGAAAGTTCGTGTAGAACTTCGCTAGAATAGCCTCGCCTTTGACACAGTTAACGAGAAAATGGGTACCATTTATATGAAATGATGCTTGTGAGACAAGCTTTCAAAACCTAAAAGAGAGATTGGTAACCGTCCCGGTACACACGGTACCCGAGATCTCAGAAGAGTACGTAATCTATAGTGACGCCTTTAAAGAATGGACTAGGATGTGTGTTAATGCAACACAGTAAAGTTGTTGCATACGCGTCCTGTCAACTAAAAGAATACGAAGATAATTACCCTACCCATGACCTGGAGTTGACCGCTGTAGTGTTCACGCTGAAAATTTGGTGACACTACCTGTATGGAGAGAAAATTCAAAGTTTAACCAACCATAAGATTTTAAATATTTCTTCACCCAGAAAGAGTCAAATATGACACAGAGAAGGTGGTTAGAATTGGTGAAGGACTCGATGTAGATATCCAGTACCACCCTAGAAAAGTAAATGTGGTTGCAGACGTCTTGAGTAGAAAGGCGGCCCACTCTTCGGCCCTCATTACAAGGGAAGTAAGGGTAAAAGAGAACTCGAGCGAGCCAACATAGCTGTAGCGATCGAGAGAGTCATAGCATAGCTGGCCCGAGTCACAATGGAACCTACGCCAGAGAATTATTACCTCCCAACGAGAGGATCCAAGCCTACAGAAAGTCCTGGGCAAGCTAGACAAAAGTCCTAGGCCAGCTAGACAAAAGTCCAGTAGACAGGTTCTCGAAGTCCTCCGATAAGGACTATTGTATCAGGGACGCCTATGTGTCCCAGAGGAGTTAAGGAAAGAGATACTAACGGAAGCTCACAACTCACCATTTGCCATGCACCCAGGAGGTACTAAAATGTACCAAGATTTTAAAACAACAATTCTGGGGGAAAAGCATGAAGAGGGACGTGGCCGAGTTTGTAAGCAAGTGCTTAGTTTGTCAACAAGTGAAAGCTCCCAGATAAAAGGCGGCGAGGTTGTTGCAGCCCCTAAGCATACTAGAGTGGAAGTGGGAAAACATAGCAATGGACTTCATAGTAGGATTACCCAAAACGCTTAAAGGCTATACTAATGATTGGGTAGTTGTCGATAAGTTGACCCAGTCGGCACACTTCCTACTTGGGAAAGCTATATATACAGTTGACAATTGGGCAAAGCTATATGTGAAAGAAATAGTAAGACTACATGGAGTCCCAGTATCTATAGTGTCGGATCGGGATCCACGCTTTTCGTCAGCGTTCTAGCTCAGACTTTAAAAAGCGTTGGGTACCCGCCTCGACTTTAGTACCGCCTTTCACCCCTAAACAGATGGACAAACGGAGCGTTTAAACCAAATTCTAGAGGACATGTTACGCGCTTGCATACTAGATTTTAAGGGAAGTTAGGATTCCAAACTCCATCGGATGGAATTCTCGTATAATAACAGCTTCCAAGCAACTATTGGAATGACACCGTTTGAGGCCCGATACGAAAAACGATGTAGGCCCCACTATACTGGGACGAAGTAGGCGAGAGAGAGTTAGTAGGACCCGAGCTGGTTCGACTCACCAATGAGGCTGTCTAGAAAATTCGAGCAAGGATGCGTATCGCTCAAAGTAGATAGAAAAGCTACGCCGATATAATGCGTAGAAGCCTAGAGTTTGAGATAGGGGACCCAGTATTCCTCAAGGTGGCACGTATGAAAGATGTGTTAAGATTCAGACGTAAGGGCAAGTTAAGTTCTAAATTCATTGGACCATTCGAGATCCTAGAGCGAGTTGGTCTAGTAGCGTATAAGTTAGCCCTACCTCTAGCCCACTTAGGAGTACGTGACGCATTTCATGTGTCGATTCTGAGGAATACATTACGGACCCTATCCATGTAATAGACTATGAACCACTCCAACTCAATGAAGATCTGAGTTACGAGGAAAAACCAATAAGAATCTTAACAAGAGAAGTAAAATTGTTATGCGACAGAAACATTGCGTTCATTAAGGTGTTGGGGCAAAATCACCATAGCGAGGAAGCCACGTGGGAGAGTGAGGATGAAATAAGAGAAAAATACCTCGAGCTAGTACAAGAGTTTGAGACTTTCGAGGACGAAAGTTCTTTTTAAGGGTAGATAATGTAACAACCCAACAAAAAAAAAAAAAAAATAATAA